GGGGGGGGGGGCCGACAAAGACGGTGGCTGGGAGCTGCCGACATGGCTCTCCCCCCGCCCCCCAACTTATATCTCCGGACCTTCATTTCCACTATGTCTCCCTTTCCACGGGTACAGAGCCCCATGTCTGCCTGTACCACGGAGGCTTCTATTGCTTACCCTCCCAACCATCTACCCCTCCGTCTACCTGTTCATCTGCCCATCTGATTGTCCCTTTACCCCACAGCTCTCCAGTACCCCCAACCATCTCCCCATCCATCCACCCAGTGACCTACCCATCCACTCACCTATCCAGCCACTCCACCCAGCCACACTCACTTATCTCTCCATCCACCTGCTCTCCCCTGTATCCACCCACCCACACCTTCACCATGCTGTGCAGGCATTCACCCAAACACCCATCCCTCCACCCCTCACTCTCCCACCTGTCTTATCAGTCTTCCATCAAACAACACTGAAGACAATGAACGCTGCAAAGTGCACAAGGGTATGGAGATGAACAAGAAAGCAGCCTTTGCTGTCGGAGCCAGACAACAGCCTGTGCTGCGTAGGAATACGGGTGCTGAGGGACCTGGAGGAGAGAGCCCTAGCCCAGTGTTGGGAGTGTGGGAAGGTTTCAGGGGAAGAGCCATTGAGCTGAATTTTAAAGACTCCTGAGGGTTTGCCAGGCTTAGCCAGGGTTTCTGGTACTCTGAGGTGTGAGACCAGCAGGGAGCATAATACTGTGTGTGTGTGTGTGTGTGTGTGTGTGTGTGTGTACAGCAGGGAAGTGGCTAGAGATGAGCTCCAGGGAAGGTAGGAACACTCCAGAAGGCTCAAACCTGGACCTTACCTCAAAGGGCAAGGAGTTATTGTAGGAGGTTAAGCCATGGGAAAAGCCAAGATTGCACTTGACAAAGATCATTCTCAGTGAAATGGAACAGTGGGGATGAGCTTGGAGGCTAACGAACCCTCACGGGAAGTCTTACGTAGATGTCAAGAACCCAGACCAGGGAGCAGCCAAGAAGCTGGAACTTGGGGGATGGCGGAATTGGAACTCAGGGCTGGCCCAAATCTTGGTCACCTGAGCCTGGCTTCAGCAGCCAGAGAACATTCCAGGCAGAGAGTACAGTGTCGGCAAGGTCCTGAAGGCAGAGAAGGATCTGCTATGCTTGAAAATGGGCCACTCCTGGTCTCTGTGTCCCACCGGCAGACTCAGACTCAAGTCCCGGCACTCTATACCCGTGCAGAGGGGGGCAGGGGTCCTTTTCCTCTCCGCCCATACCAAACTTTTTCTTGATGAATTGCTTCTGTAAGGTGCCTTCACTCACTGTCTCTCCAGGCTCTGGGTGTAGAGAAGAGAGGAGGTCAGGAAGACATGTGGACTCAGAGGACGGCGAGGAAACCCCGCACGGCATCATGGAGATTTCAAAGCAGTGACAAACCCTGTCCGGGATGATCCCAGAGAGGTGCTTCTCCAGGCATCCCGTGTGTGGCAGTTCAATGTACTCACTTGCCTATCAAGCACCTGCTCCCTCTTCTGGTAAGACTGTGTCTCAATGTTCCTGAGGAAGCACCCTACCCGCTTCAGTCTGGGTTGTCTAGCTGGAACTGCAGGTGCCTATTTTACCACCCCCAAGGAAAAGATGTTCCAAGAACAAAACTGTGCAGAGTTCAGTAGAGCAGACATGGAGAGGGAGACCGAATCCTGACCATCGCTTGAGTCCTGGATCCAGGTATTCCTGAAAGTCCAGGACTTCTCAACTTGCTAAGTCATTTGAGCGAACTAATTTCTTCTTCTGCTGAAGCTATTTCACATCCAATGTCTGTTCCTGATTGAGAGAGCGGGTGTTGGTAACTCCAAAACGTGGATTCTAAACCTCGCATTATTAAAAGAGTGTTATTTTATTTATTATCATTATTCTAAAAATTTGACCAGAGAGTGAGAGAAAGAGAGGGGGAAAGTGAGAAAGCTAGGCACCAAGTCGGAGACTTGAACCATGGCTGGTCATGTGAGAGTCCAGAGCCTTAACCACTGCACAACCTGCTGGTCCCTGGAGCTCAGATTTTAAAGTTCTGAAGCTCTTTAAGCATGACGCATCCTAACTGACTTAAAATAAATTCAATCTGGGCAGGCAGGTGGCATGTTGGTTAAGGTGCTGGATTCCCACATGGCCTACCGTGGTACAAGTCCTGGGCTTGGGGACTTACTTTCTGACTCCCCCCACCCCTCTGTCCCTCTCTGGTCAAATTAAAATAAATAAATAAATGGGGGCCGGCAGGTGGTATGGTGGTTGGGGGCGCTGGACTCCCACATGGCCAACAGTGGGTTTGTGTCCTGGACCTGGCTTCTTGGTTTCTCACTTTCCCTCTCTCTCTTTTTCTCAGTCTGTCCCTCTCTGGCCAAATTTAAATAAACAAACAAACAAGTAAATAAATAAGTAAAATAATTTTTTTAAAAAAAAGAACATGACCTTTAAAAAAATACATAGAAATATACATAAAATTAAATATATTAATTCTTAAAAAAATATTGGGGCCAGCAAGTGGCATGATGGTTAAAGGTCCTGGATTCCCAATGGCCAGTCCTAGTTTGAGGCCCAGACCTGACAGCTTGCTTTCCCTTTCTCTCTCTTTCTGTTTCTTTCTGGTCCAGTTAAAAGAAATAATATAACAAATGGAATTAAATAAGTAAATAATTCTTTTAAAAAAATCAATTCATGGGACCAGCAGTTGGCATCATGGCTATGTTGCTGGACTCCCA